CCCCCCCCCCCCCCTATAAGCCCACCCAAGACCCCTTACAAAGTAAAATAAGCCCAGGGCTTTAACATGGGATTTTATGTATATTACGAATTCATTCACTTAAAATGCAAGCTAAATTTCTTGACCTCCTTAGAGCGCCAATAAAGAGAGTTACCGGTACGGCTCCCCCTACGCTGCTCAGACGCTTCTAACATTTCTACTCCTAACCCATGATTTACTTGATTCCTACCTAGCTCTCCAACTGAAAACATAAATCATAAGCTTGTGCTCCCCTAGATAAATAAATTAAAATTTTGTTTGATTAGTAATGACTAATATAGAGGTTCTATTGCTTTTCAAGCAAGTGTAATAAAAATAAGAAAATCAGAATCAGCAACCATCTAATCTTGTTACTTGGTTTTCCAGTTTCTAAAATAAAAGGCAAATATTACTGTGAAGATAATACTCGTGTGGACACTGGTCATATTTTTTTAACTCAAGTGATGTGCTAGATCAGCAGATCTCCAAATGTTTATCTTCAGATATTCCATAGTTCTTCTTGTGTTTTTCAAACAGCTCTTCCAGTGCTTTAACATACTGCAAATGGAACTTCTCTATCTCCTCTGGTGAAGGATTGTTCACTTTGTCAACTTTGATTGGAGCACCAACTGAAATAATTAAAATAGGCCAAATGTTGGACCAAAATGCTTGCAAAATACAACATACATTGAACCAATCTAAGAAGTTCCAGTATTATAGAAAATGGTTTTAACCCAACAGGGCTCAAAATAATTTTCGGACCGTGGCTGGTCATGTTGACTGGCCAAAGTAATTTTAGCTCGGTCACCTCTCATTTCTAACCAGTCAAGATATTTAAAAAAAAATTTAAGTAATATTGGCCTAATTAAACCCACAAAAATAATTTGTTTGCTCCAGTCGTTGCTAGACCGTTTAAAAATTGGCTTAATACAAAGAAAAGCTTAAAACTTAACCAAAGATAGCCTTGGCAGGGCTCAGCAGCTCAATGAGGTGGCACGGTGCCAGTGGAATTCTTGCCACCTGCCAAAGAAAAAGTATCGAACGGATGCATATTTGATGAAACTTCGAATTTTTTGATCGGTATATTAAATTCCATGAGCTGTTGTTTTGATGATCTACAAAGTATTTACGATGTCCATCAAAACGTAAATGAAACCAAACATGCATCAGCAGATCCTTATTTTGGGATTCAGAAATAACTTGGTAAATAAATATAACCAAAGAAGAAGTTTATGTTTCCTCGATACATGCACAACAAATCATTGTGTTACTACGAATATGGCTACAGTTACACAACGTGTTGGGAAGTTTCTTCATGACTTGAATAAAATAAAAGTTTTAAAGTGTAAGCCATAACAAATCTAAACTTTGTTGTAGTCATATTTTAGAGAGTTTTCATTCACAAAGAACTAATGACCATCATTCAGTAGATTTTACCACTGAAAGTGCGTAGATTTTGGTCACATGTTGAGCAACGAGTTGAGAGTGTCTCAAGTTTCATTCGCGAACAAAATAACTTTACAGATACAGATACTGATAAGGCCTTCGGCTTTTTTGTTGGTACATAATTATTTTCATCTGTTTTGTAACAGTAACTTTCATCGGTTGGTTTTAAATTAGACACCGGGTTCGTGCTCCATGTTACATTTACGGCTTGATGAAAATGAAGCAGACTGTAAAATGCGTGTTTTGATGTCCCGGAGTCCCATTGTGTCTAAGTTGGAAACAACTTGACAATTGAATGAAAAGTTTTGTTTTGGCGTCTTGTTCGTCAATTTTTGTGCAGTGAAAGTGAAAGAAACGACAAATATCTTGACATCTGTAGTTCAATACCTTTGAAATATACGCCAACAAAGAAAGGTGCTCTGTGAAAAATCTAAAGTGTAATGAAAACTGAGCTGAATCTGATCACATTCCCTTTGCCGTACGGAAAATCTCTGCTATTCGATAGGCTGAATAGTTTTGAATTCTGAATTGAAAACCTCTGCCATCCTAACAGATGAAGAATGTTTCCAAACAGATTGCAGCAGTTGCTTGAATGGCTGAACATTTTTTGTGAACGGATAACCCCAGCAGTTCAGATGGCATTCCTATTGATCTTGATGTATGACAAGCAGCTAGCGAATGATTTTTAGCCGTTTGAACAAATACCCGTTAGTGTATGTTTTTGTGTGAGAGGTCATAATAAAAAAAAGAGATTAAAAATCTAAGATTTACAGTTCAGGATTTGATTGTTTATTGAAGAATGAACAACATGACTTTCTCAACATGATGTGACTGGTCAACATGACTGCTGAGTGAAGTTTTTGGCCGGTCAAGTCACCATTCCTGGCCGGACATTGTCCCTTGACCGGCTGTTATTTTGAGCCCTGCCCAAGAGCATCAGTAGTTGATCAAGTGTTTGATCGTCTGGGCGAGTGTATAGCTCTGAAAAGAACTGTTGTTGGTGACTAACGTTTTAACAACCTGAGCAGAAGTCATCTTCAAGTCAAGAGAATAGTGTTTGTCAGTCGATGATGTTATAAGTCTGGTCCGTTGAAAGTGATTGGTCAGTTTAGCCATGATGATATTGGTGGAAAGACTTGAGTAAAGCTTGTCAGCAGTTATTGGTCAGTTCTAGTAAGTTTAGATCCATCTATTGTTAGTCAAATGAATTTGGTCTGTTCGAGGTCTGGCTACTGTCAAATTAAGTTGGTCTGTTTGAGGTCCATTTGTTGGTTTTCTTTATGTCCTGAATTTTAAGCCATTTGTAACATGCCAGTAGTTGTTGATATCTGTTAAGAAGCATTTGCTCTAAGTTAGTGTACGTACCAGCTTTCCAGAGTCATTCATTGAAAATAGTTTGTACTGTAGGTTAAGCATTGAGCAGAGTCCCAGTCAATTCTGTGGTTCGTCAGTTGATGATCTACAGAAATTTGATTGTTGGCATCACTGTTTCTCATTGTTTGTTTGTGTCCAGTCAGTATTGTGTTAAGGTTTCTGCCAAGCCTGGCAGTTGGAGCATTTGATCTTGCAAACTGCTCCCTGTCTGTTGTTAGGGTTCGTCCCTGTCTTCAATATTGGTCAGTACGTGTTGCAACATAGTTGTAGGTTTGTGGACCACACAGATTTTGTAGAACTGTAGGATCCATGAGATGGTTAGCACTCGATAAAGGAAATAACACGATATATACTTAGAAAGTCTGAAGTCTGCAGTCTGCATTTTACCCTCGGTCTGCATTTTACCCCTGCTCCACAGTCTGCATTCTGTATTTTGCAGCCTGCATTTCAGACTGACTGATTATTTATAAGAATGGCCCTTCCACCTAACCCTTGCATGTACCCAGCCATCTTAGATTAGCAGTAAATTTATGTCTACTTGATGAAATGTTTCAATGAATGCGAGAAGTTTGCCATGGTCTCATCACACTCTCAAAAACTATAGTTCATTTACTTACTGACAGTGTGAATGGGTCGTCTGTGAGGAAGAAGGCCAAATGTGTACTGAAACACCCCACGTCCACGAAAGAGTGGAGGTGCAAAGCCCATCAGATCTTTCATCTTTGTTTGCCACTGACGCAGTGCAGAGCCATGTGGGTTACTCACTTGGTCATAAAGGTCATTTTCTCCAAAGGAAAATACAGGCACTAGAGAAGCCCTATGATAAGGTGTAAATCAGTTAAAATAGCAGCCTCTAGGTACCCAAGGGTGAACTGGAACAACCTTACAAGTTGTCCCAAATGCAAACAATGTGAAACTATGAATATGCAAGGGGGGAAAGTAGGAAGGTGCTGGCAAGTGACATGTAAGAGCCATCATGTTCACTTTGTCACAAAAGGTGCTCTCATGACTGCCTTACACGTTTCACTCTATCACAAGTTCACTCGCAACTTCATTACCGGGTACATGTTTAATATTGCTTCCACTTAAACAATTTTCCTCCCAACATAAGTTTGCTTCAACAGGAAACCATCAGTATTGAAGAACCATTCAAAACGTACGGCAGCCCAGAAGGGTCACCAACCATTTTTGTTTCTGTTTTGTTTTTTAAATTTTTGTGTTTTTTTTTTGTTCTTTTTAATTTTGTATTTTTAACTTTTGTTTTTGTTTTTGTTTTTTTATTTTGTTTTTGTAATTTCTGTTTTAGTTTTCGTTTTGCCTTTCATTTTAATTTTGGCTTCTGTTTTGCATTTTTTGTATTCAAAAAGGAAACAAAAACACAAACATTAAACAAAAGCAAAAATGAAAATAAAAACGAAAATGGCTAAAACAAAATTGACAAGTGTAGACCATCATGCTTTACTTGCAGTTGGAAACTTTACAATCTATGACGTGAAAGTAGTATGGGACGTTTACCACAAAGGGGGTCTTTGTACTGTGAGCCACTCTGCGTGGGGTACCGAAAGGCAAATTCTGAGGACTGAGACAAATGTCGTGACAAATGCTCATGTCCTCCCTCAGTGGCCTAAGTAAGCGGTGGGTCCCTTCCAATATTTTCTCCTTCCCCAAAAGGAGCTCACATGCAATATGTTTGCATCTGTCAAGTTTCTATCACACTCAAACACGAAAACCTCAAACAATAAAGTGGAAATAAAACACAGAACACGCAAACAACAAAACAATCATCATAGAATGTGAAAATAATTTCTTCGCTGCCTTTGAAGTCAGTAGAAGTTTAGGGCCATAGCCAGACTTTCAAAACAAACGAAGCAAGTCTTGCAAGCTCCAAAGGCGTGCGTGCAATAATTAGTTCATTGTGAGAGCTTAAGATTACATTCATTTGCGTGAGACTTGAGAGCTCTGAAAATGATATGCTTTTATTTATACAACGGCCTTTTAACACCTTTTTACAAGTTAAGGAAGTTGATGAAGAAATATCCTTGACTTTACTTGAAATCTTTGTGACCTTTGTACTTGCTATATTCTTCTCCCAAGACAAGTAGACAAGCAATGAAATGGCCGTAGAGTAACCGATGCGTGACTACTCTTGATGGCCAAAAGATCACACAATGGTCATGTCATGGATACTGCCAGCAAAGCATGATGGTCTACTCTCATTGATTTTGTTTTGGCCTTTTGCAATTTTGTTTTTGTTTTTGTTTTTATTTTTGTTTCCATTTTTGTTTTTTGTTTTTTAATTTTTGTTTTCGTTTTTGTTTTGTTAATTTTTGTTTTTGTTTTAATTTTGTTTGCGCTATTTATTTATTTTTTTTTTGAACAGAAAAAAAAAGATGACAATGAGAAACAAAAACAAAACAGAAACAAAAGTTTACGAAACAACAACGGAAACAAAAATTAAAAACGAAAACAAACACAAAATTTAACAAAACAAAAACGAAAACAAAAATTAAAAGACAAAAAACAAAAATGGAAACAAAAATTAAAAAAACAAAAAACGAAAATGAAAACAAAAATTAAAACAAACAAAAAATAAAAATGGTAGGTGACCCTTCTGGGCTGCCGTAAAAACGTCAAGAATATTGCCCTCTCTTGGACATAAAAGCTTGAGAACTTCACTCGAGAACAAATGCTCGAGGGATGAAAGGGTCAAAGATCAGAGGAACATCTCCTTTGTAACAAACTTAAACGTAAAAATAACAAGATCTCCCTATTCAGAAATGAGCCACACTTACCCATTGCGTAGAGCAACTTTGACAAATCCTTTCCTCTCCTTTAGTGTTAATTTAAAATTATCTGGCCTTGCTTCCAAGGACTCCGCAGCGCCACCAATCACAATGGCTGCCGAATGACCTGGACCCATTTTCTGCAGAATGTACTCTATACTGTCTTTATCCACTGAACAAGCACCGAACGCCATACTGAAGTCTCTTGTGAAGGGGAATCTGAAATTCATCGTGAGAGTCAACAGATGAGGATGGATCCCTGGAAACTTTTCCGAGAAGCCAGTTGCTTCCCCGCCGAAATTTCCCAGTGCACCAAGACCCATGATACCGTGCGGATGACAGGCGAAAATGTAGTTGTCCTTGGGGTCTAAGTCTGCAGTCTTAATCAGGTACATAGGAAAGTAATCGCAGTAATATTTCCATATTTTCCACCTCCTTGCAGCCTCGAAAGTCCGGCCTCCGCGGCTTGGAGTTCGCGGATTCAAGATGTATGCCCAACCGATGTAAAGAATAGCAAATATGGTGGTGTAGGGATTCAGCAGTAGCAACAAGAGCAAACAAGTACCAAATATATGACCAAATAGAAATGCGTAGACCAGAGTCATCACCGCTAAGGTCTGGATTCGTCTTTTGATGGGAATTTTTATCGGAGCCCACTCGACCATTTTTGAAACGAGGTCTGTAACTCAATAGTCAGTCCCTAGGCCGACCCCACAGAGGTCATGTATACACAGGCACACTTAGGGTGGGGTAGGGTAAAACACATTCCCGTATCGACTGCTCAACTGCCGGTAAACAGGAGTCTCTTTGTATTAAGTGCAATCAGTATTGAATTAGAAATAAACATTCTGAGAAATACCATGCATTTGTCCCGTTGTTTTATCCTATTTTGCTGCTAATAATGACAACTGCTCGGGGTCCATCAGCCTCTCCTCCTAAATACTCGTCCACCTCTACCCTCCCCGACAAACTCGTCATGGGCAAGTGTGAACTTGTCCAGTTTTTCTTCGTCGAGGGAATCCTTCCTTCATAGTGGTTCACGTTCCTTAGGTTTGGAGTTGACGTTTACAACTTCCGTCAGCCGATATGCCTGGCCGATATGCATGTGACACACCTCGTGACTGTCAGGAGCTTTCATTTGTGACTGTCTGCATATTTCGAATTTCCGTGTAAGCAGCGCCTGCATTAATTCGAGTGGACTGTTAGCAGAATGGATCGTCTGGTGGGTTATCTGTTGCTGGGGTTTGTTTGCACCGCTTTGGGGAAGCATGGAGAGTTACAAGTTTCATCTGCGGAGATGGTAAACACGATCAACACTTTAAATGTGGGGTAAGTGTAAAACAAAAGCTTAGAAGCAGTTAGAAGTACTCGCCCATTAAGTGTGTTTCATAAAACTTTACATTTCAGCTCAAGCTTAGTTTAGCAAACGTTCTAAGAATGTACCAAGTTCAAAAGCATATCTAAGCCTTACGTTAGGCAGAATCTGGTAGCTGCACGTTTCTACATCTATGATAATGTCCTGTAGCTGATTTCCTTGCTTGCAAAGATGCTGAATCACTCCAGCGCCTAAAAATAGGTCTGCAATGCGTAAATGCGTAGCTTAGGAGCTTTCCCAGTCTTTTGCACTATGTTATTAACCGCGCGGCCATGGGCCGAGCGCGGTTCATGGTTTACCCGTGGTTTTTTTTTTTTTTTCGATTTGTAGGCGACCAGACCCAAGCTTTCACTTGGCCAAATTTTGAGTCACGCAACCTGTGATGTTTACGTGCCAAAAGCTGTTGAAACATTAATAAATCTCATCTCCGATACTGACTTTCGGGGGAAAAAAATTAAAAACCCAGCGTTCGTCAAAAATTATATTTTTTCATCAGAAATTTCGTTCGGGACATATATATATTTGTATTCGTTTGAATCATCGATGAAATGACCTTTTCCGGATATTTTTCCTTTGGGGTCAACGAAAACCTCCAATTACAAAATCACGCTGAACCCACACGTTGCAAAAAAATCTCTTCAAAACCCTGATTTCGAAGCGATATATCACTTAAGTGTTAATAGCTACCACACATTGGTAGGTGGTAAATGTATTCCTTAACAATCCAGCTTTATCGTGTTAAAATTTCAGCGAAATCGAACAAAACCAGAATTAATCAGAATTATTTTGTGACCTCACTCACCAGACTTGACCTAACAAAGGAAGCCAGGGTTGCCCATAGCAACCGAAAAACACGAACATAACAAAGCCGACGTTTCGGCCAAAAAACTCCAGAATTATCGCCTGAGAGCTTAACCTTGAATGG